AAGGCATATATATTTCAGGTGTCCACCAGGATGCTTAGCAGTCTCCCTCAAGCCCAGGACTGGGTAAAAGATGTCTAATTAGAAGGCATCAGTGCCTGAGGAGGGAGGCTGTGGCAAAGGATCAGTATATCTGTTCCAGTGGAGAATGGGGAAGGCCAGTACATATGTATGTTGTGAGACGCTCCCAACCCTCCTTTCCACACCAGCTTCCCTTCTTGCATCTCCCACTTAAGGGTCCATGCCCTTAAGCTCAGACAAGTTGGGAATCCTCTGCCCTCTGTATCTGTCCTTTCCATTGCCCTCTTTGAGGTCTTTCCAGTTGTTGGGTTCTCAAAGGGTCCTTTGTGATCCCCCTGCTGAACTTAATGAGTGCTACTCTCAGTATAAGGTATAGTCTAAATCAGGAGTATACAGACTTTCTATAGAGGGCCAGACGGTAAATATTTTACACTTCGCTTGTTGTATAGTTTCAGTCACAGCAATCTGATTCTGCCATTGTGTCACAAAAACACCAATCTGTCGCTAACCTGCAAATAGAAGGCCTCTCAAAGTGAGAGGCAATAAGCATTTATTCAAAATCAATAAGAATAACTATTCGGGATTCTTGTCTCCCTCCCTGACCTTTGTGATCATGCCTGCTGTGGGGAGCAGCTTATAGCTCCTGCGTGGCCTTGGGCTGGCTGCAGTCTTAGTTTGAGTGTGGGTGAAGTGTCTGGCTCCAATAAGATGAGACTTTCACTGCTGCTCCAGGTGATGGCTTGGTGTTGCTCCAGAGCGACATCTCTGCTAACCTGGGCGGCGTGTCTAGCAAGAGATTAAAGGTGCAGTAGGCCGTGGGGCTGCTGCTCGAGTTCCAGATTTGTGTTTCCTGAGGTTATAGGCGAGTGTTTGAGGAGTACATGCGGATTATTAGCCAGCAGTACCCAGACATCTGCAATGAAGGAGAGAATTACCTCCCTCAACCAATATATTGACACACAGCCTCTTTCCTGTCAGTCTTCAAACTAGTATTAATAGGCTTAATAGTTGTTTGCAAGGATCTTTTTGCTTTCTTTGGCATGCAGGTCCCTAGCATCTGGCAATGGGACCAAGAAAATAAGGTCTATGCATGTAGGATGGTTTTCTTCTTCAGCAACATGGTTGAGAACCAGTGCATGTCAACAGGTGCATTTGAGACACCTTTGAATGATATACCTGTGTCGTCTAAGCTGGAATCCAGTCACCTTCCATCCATGCAACAGCTTGTTCAAATTCTTGCCAATGAAATGAAGCTCAATGTGTATATGGATTCAGTCCCGTATCATTGATCATAGCCCCACTTATCAGCACTGAAAACTCTTTTACATTAAGGATTTTTTGCAAGAGCAGCGTGACTGACAATATGAAGGCCTGTACTGAAGACAGCAAGCTGTTAGTACAGGCTTTAGTTCCTTTTTTATTGATTTAAGGAGGGAGAAAGAAAAAAAAATCTCTCAGCTGCCTCCTGCATACCCCTTAACAGGGATTGAGCCCCCAACTGGGGCATGTGCCCTGACAGGGAATCAAACTGGCAACCTTTTGGTGCATGGCATGATTCCCAGTCAACTGAGCCACACTGGCCAGGGCAGACCGGATGGCAGACCAGATTGTATCTCTTGGAAAACCTCAATGCAAGACAGTTTTCCAGTGCTGGCACATTTCAGAATTCTGCACATTCGTGGAGTGCAATAATACTGCATAGTTATTTATTTCTCTCCCAAATCCACTCGGTGAATAGTTTTTTGAAAATGCAAGCATTATTACTTGTACCTTTTTCCTTAAATGAGTTAGAATTTGATTTTTTTTCAAAGATGTTTGTTAAATTTGTTGTAATTTTATATGAATTCTTTTTTATAGTTTAGAATTGATCTTTTTGGGAATACAGGTGAAGTTCTCAAACACTTTATAAGAGTCTATCAGACATCTCTGATTTGGTCACATCCAAGTTATATAGTTTCAAAATACTGCAGATTGTGAGCAATGCATTATACAAGATTTTAGGGGAGATTGTGTGTGTGCGCTCGTGCACGCGTGAGTACCAGAAAACTACTAAAAGAGCAACAGCTTTTTTTTTTTTTTAATTGATTTTGGAGGCAGAGAGAGAGAGAAACATCAATTGGCTGCCTCTGGCATGCGCCCTGATGGGATCGAACCTGCGACCCAGGCCTGTGGCCTCACTGGGAATTGAACTGGTGACACTGGTGCACAGGGTGATGCTCAGCCAAGTCTGCCACACCAGCCAGGGCAAAAGACCAACTGCTTTTTTTTTTTTTTAATATGTTTTTATTGAGTTTTGGAGAAAGAGAGAGAAACATTGATTGGATTGAACCCACAACCTGGGTATGTGCCCTGCCTGGGGATTGAACTTCTCGGTGCACAGGGTGGTGTTCAACCAGCTGAGCAACACTGTTATGTAGTTCAGGTGTCTTGCCTAGACCAGTCTAATAAGTTGATTAACTGGGCCTTTATACTTAACTCAGTAGAAACTTAAGCAGGTAAAAGTTAAATAAAACTTTGAATTTATTTCCCAACCTAACCTTTAACATTATATTTAACAGTGATCTGCTTAAATTTTTGTTTTTGACTTACAGAAAATTTCATAAGGTATACACTTTAGATTCACACACAAATAATAGATCATTTACCATTTTTAGGATAATTGAAACTCGCCTCACCATAACGTTTAGTTGACCTTTACAACATTAATAATAGATGAATGGAGATCACGTGTCTAATTTAACTTGCCTCACATATATTAGAATTTTATTATCTTTGAGAAACAAAATTGAAAAATTTTTTATTCAGTGAATTTAATATATTTTCAGAGTTCTAAAAAGACTCTAAGAGTAATTTAGCAGAAATATGACCATAATGTAGAAAAATAGTCACATAGCAGCAGTCACATAGTCACATCCTTCGGTCTCCATATAGGAATAGAAGTGGGAGGTCCAGATTTGTTAGTAGAAGTAAACGGGTTTAATGGGAAAGTGAGGAAATAATTCAGCATTGAGTCCACCGAACACATAGCACAACCATATACTTTGTTTGTCACAGATTATTTGTTGAGTGCATGTCTAGTATGATCATGATTGCACAGCCTCAGGTGGAACATGCTGCAGTCTCTGGCTGACAGGAAGTTAGTCTGCAGAAAACTGATTAAATGCCTTATCCTTTTAATGTAAGACTGCAGAACTGTTAATCTAAGTTCATATAGTGAGCTTAGTATTGACAAGAGGCAATTCAAGAGGCAAGTTAAGCTGGGAAGTTACATACAGGTTATTATTATAGCATTGATGACATTTTGTTATCTTTGACTAGGGCTAAAACCTTGTCAACTTGATTTGTACCAGCTCAGACTTCCTATCTTCTGCAAGTTCGGAACTCTGCTGAGTGTGTCCAGGGTCTTTCTTCAGCTGCTGGACATCCCACCAGTGACAGATAACTTACGTGGTGTTCCCGTGTATCTGACAGGTCAACCGTGAAGAACCTAAGATTTGATTCTGACTTTCCCATGTTCGCCTTAGGTGACTCAATTGTCTTTCAGAGAATAGCTTTAGACGGCTTAGACCCTGGTAACACTCAGCTATTTTGTTGATACCCATCTCAATATTGTTGTTTTATCTTTGGCCATATTTAAATCTAGGAATTAATGGAGTTTAGTGAAAAATTAGTGGGAAGCACGAATATAAAAAGGGAAAAGGGAAAGTTTAAATGCAGCTATTTAGAATATAGTTTTATTCTTAACACTTCAGAATTTATTAGTTGCTTACAAATTTATGTGGCTCTGTAGTTTATAAATGTCTACGTACTATATTAATTAGAAAATTATAGACTATGACAGCAAGTTCGCTAATGTTATTGGGGTTTTTACCAAAGTTGCTATTGTGGAAGAAATTGTTAGATTAAAAAAACAATAACTTTTTGGGAAGCATTGATTCAGGCAGAAGCCCAGATCTAATTAGGAGACAAATGCAGTGGGTGTGAGAAAGGGAAGGGAACAAGTGCATCCATAGAAGGAAGGCATTTCCGCTAGTGCAGGTAACAACGTGGTGATGCTGGTTCTAGATGGTGGCTTTAATTTTCAGTCATGTAGCCATAGTATCGGCTTTCTTGTTATCTTTGCAAACAGTTCTTTGGGGCACAAGGCTGCTTTAGGCCCAGTCTAAAGCTTATTTTGCCCTGTTTTAACATTCCAGAGATTTGAGGCATGCAAGGCAGCTCCCCTGGGACAGCAGCCTCGGCCACATTGTAAAGCGGCTTGTTTTTTCTTTCCTTTTCTTTAACATTGTAAAGGAAAAGGCACAGCTGTGTTCCAATAAAACTTTATTTACAAAAACAGATTGGAAGCCCACAGACCAGTTAACTGATCCTTGAGCTAACACAGTGTTTTTCATACTGATTGCTGTTTGTTTTTACACTGAATTTGGAGCCTGTAACCATCATTTTTGGGGGGTCACTTTGGTATCCCCCATGTCTCAGTGCCTGGCACAGAGTAGGTAGCTAGTAAGCATTTGTTGTACAAACGAAGGTCTAGCTGATTCCAGAGACTTCTCTCACTCTCCCTAGCCTGAGGAGGCCTCTCCCTCAGCCCCACACCCCCAGTTCTCTGTCACCAATCTGCAGTTCAAATCCCTTTTATTTATTTGTATTCTAATAACCACCTGTGAACCTGCTGCCCAGCCTGAGAACCAGAATATCCACAGTAACCTCTGAACTTTCCACACAGGATTTCCTGCTGCTTATAGTGGTTTTACCATATAGATTATACCTAAACACTGTATTATTTATTTTTATTTGTTTTAGAGCTTTGTGAAAAGTGTACTGTGCTGCGGCCTGGGCAGTGTGGCTCAGTTAATGGGGCATCCTCACCCTGGGCACGGAGGGGTTGCTGGTTCGATTCCCAGTCAGGGCACATACCCGGGTTGCTGGCTCTATCCCTGGTAGGGGGGCGGCAGCAGGTTGATGTTTTGCTCTCACATTGATGTTTCTCTCTCTCCCTCCCCCCTCTCTAAATTTCAATAAAAACATTTTTTTGGGGGGGGGCAGTATACTGTACTGTACACAGTCTCCATGACTGACTGTTTCATGTCAGGTTTTCCCAGGAGTCTGCCGTATTGATGTGAGTAGCTATAGTCCATTGGCTTTTCACAAAGAGCTGTCTAATATACCCCTGGGTGAATGTACCAGAATTCATTTGTGCATTATGTTGATGAGCATTTGCATTTTTCTCAGCTTTTGCTGTTGTGATCAATGCCACAAAGACAACTTCTGGTCCAATTATGCACACGGCATGTGGTTCTGGGTGCACACAGCAACTGCTAAATCCAGGCACTTCTGACTCTTCACACAACTATGTCTGCCTAAACTCCCAAGGACAGTGATGCCAGGTGCCAGGGTCTGCCAGGCCCCATTGGTCCAACGCTCTCCCTTGTTCCTCACCAATGCCTCTCTCCCCCAGATTCAACTGGCATGCTGGGTCGCATCATCTTTGCCTGGTGGAAGGGGTGAGTTTGTCTTCCAGGTCAGAGACTTCTGGCCACTCTCCCCAGATAGTGGTCATGTCTGTCTCAATCCTGGCTGCATTTTCAGCTCTTCCTCCCTCCTACCAGTTTCCAGGGTAGAGATTTAGCGTTTACATCGTTAGTGCTAAGGAGTCTTTAGATAGAGTGCTCAGTACAGGTGGCTCTCCCAGGGTCCCCTAGCAGTGAAGCCACATACCACATAGCCATTGCTGTCATCAGATTTGCCTTCAAGAACACTGATTTGCCACTTGCTGCCTATCATGGAACAACACAGAGAGTCACAAAACCGTGAGTGTCCTTTGCTTGCTTGTTGAAAGAGAAACCTGAATGAGACAGTGCTTAGCCCTAAAGGAATGACTCTACTCCAGAGACTACTGTGGTGGTCCACACACTTAGTTGGACTTTGCTGAGCAAGTCATCAGGATCCCTATCTCACATGGAATCCGTGGCACCATTTGTCTGGAAGGGATTGAGGGTCTTGTGCTGACTGCTTCCTCCTCAGGTCAGTATTGGGCAACCTCGGGAGTGATCGAGTATCTTCTGTTAATTGTAGTTGTGAGGTACAGTGAGATAGTGTATGCTGAATGCTTAGCACATTGCATGGTGCATAATATGTGCTCAGTGAACATCAGCTGCTATTAACAACTCTGTTTCACAAGCTCTCTGTATGTCATCTCTAATTCTCATAACTTTTTAGAGTAGGATTGAATGTGTACATTTCACAGATGTGAAGCAAACCTAAGAGGGAAGTTACTCACCATGTAACATAACTTGTGAGTAGTGAGGTGGGGTTTGAGCCTCAAGCCTGTAGTCTTTTCGTGGTATCAGGCTGCTTTATGGGGCAGAGCCTTAGACCAGGCCCATGTGTTCCAGGCCTGCCTTTGCCATATATCCCCTCAGGAGTTCCCCATGTGTGTCCCATTGCCCACTCAGGAAAGCTCCTTTTTCCTCTAGGAGATTTCAGATGAAGGGTGAGGGCTAATGCTGCAAATTCTGAGCTGTACTGGGGGATGCAACGTCTCCTGCCATTGGGGAAGTGGTCCCAGGTTTGTGCATGGGTCAGGGAGTCACTGCCTGGCAGAAGAGGTGGCCATCGTGGAGGTGTGTAACAGAAATATCCTAGGCTTGGATGTCAGAACCTGGCTTTTCCTCTTGGCCTATCCCCTTACTCTCCATGTGATCCAAGGGAAGTCATCTCCCTTCTCTGGGCTAATTATCTGTAAAATGCAGGGGGATACACTAAATGTAGTGTTTACAAGTCCAAAATATGTGGACTTCTTGCTGGATACCCTCAAAGCAAAAGGAAGGGAGGAGATGGCAGGAACCCAGGGGTAGCCTCTCTCAGAAGGCCAAAGGCTGGGGAGCAGCCATAAGACGGTTCTTTGCCTTCATGTGTCATGAGTTAATAAGGGGAAACACTAAATGACCACTGAAGGTCCTCCCAGCTAATGGTGGCATTTTAGGCAGCAGGGACTGGGTGTGGGGACAGACATCTGTCTGGAATGTGGGTTTTCCTGAGCCCTTCGGACTTTACCATGGCCTAAGGATGGCCTGCACTGCCTGCAGGACATGTTTTCTTCTTGAATTCAAATTGCTAACCAACCTCTCCTTTCCAACAGGAGCAAACTGGACTGTAATGCCAAGCAGTGGAGGTGAGGAGCTGGGACTAAGGGGAGGGGAGTCTTCTGTTATGAAGGTCTCTAACCTCTGACCCTTTCCCCCAGGCTTTTTGCTGACATCCTCAACGATGTAGCCATGTTCCTCGAGATTATGGCTCCCATATACCCAATCTGTTTCACCATGACCATCTGCATCAGTAACCTGGCCAAGGTACCCACCTCTGGGGCACCCCTATAGCCAAGATACTTGTCTTAATGGTGCTCTTTGTGTGGGCTCACTTTGGGGTCTACAGGTGAGCCCAGCCTGAGCACTGTGTTCAAGGCACTTCTAGAAGAGTGAAAAAGTTCAGATGTTCCTACTCAGACCCAACCATACTTTCTGATTCTTCTTCAGCCAGCCTCTGGTGACTCATAGTCTGCGGCAGTGTCTGGAGCCACAGTACTGGTGAGGGAGCTCCAGTGCCAACATCCTGGGACCAGCTCCCTGACTACCTTTCATTCTCTCAGTAAAATATTTATTGAGTGCCTACTGCATGTTTGGCACAGAATAGGGGCCCTCCCTTCTTTGGAAGAAAGCCACACCAAATTAAACAAATATTTATAGAATTACAGCTCCAGCTGTTCCAGGTGAGAAGTGTCGGGCAAAGGGCTCAGCAGGGAATGTGGCCCAGTGAGGAGATGGAGGACATCCCCCTGGGGCTGGGTCCTGAAGAATGGATTGAAGGTGCAGGGTGGGTGTTCTGAGTGGAAAGAACAGTGTGGGTCAGGGCCCAGAGGCAAGACAACACAGGCCGGATGGCGAGGCGAGGGGCAGGTGGGGTGAGCACGAGCGCTTCGTCCCGGCCAGGCTGGGCACCCTCCCAGTTGCTTTAGGCCTCAGCCAGGTGAGAACATGGAAGCCCAGCAAGGCTTGGGAAGGAGCTTAGCTGGGCTTCACATGGGGTGCAGCTAAAGACAAAAGACTAAAGACTCCCAGACTAAAGACTCCTAAAAAGACATGCGAGACCCATCTCAAAGGCCCTCTTCCATTCACAGTCATGCTAGAGCAGTGCTGCTCCTGGACACTACTGGCATTTCAGACCCAGCACCCCTTTATGGTAGGGCACACGTGGCTTCCCTGGCCCCTGTGCTAAGGGCCGCAAGCATCCCCTCAGCCCCAGGGAGGAGACTCAGGGAACATCTCTGCTGTGGCTGTGGATCAGGGATTGTGGCCTCTGCCATGTTTCAGAGTGCACTGGATTCCTCCTTAGGGGCCTGACTCTCTTCATGTAAGGGAATAGAACAGGGCCCTGAACTTCCTCCTCTCGCCCCACCAACCCTCTGGAATTCTGGTCTCAGTGACCAGCACCTCTGTCCCCCGGTACACTAACCAGAAGCCTGGCTGCCATCCGTGCCTTCTCCCCCCTCACCTGTCACCCTCAGCTAAATCTCCATTCAGTTCTGTTTTCCCTCCTGAATCTCTCCACCCATTAACTCCTCCATCTCCATGTCACCCAGCAGCTCCTCACTGCTGAAAAAGCACAGTTGCTTCCTAGGTGGTCTTCCTGTTTCTATTCTGACCCTCTTCAGTCCTCTGACAGCGCAATCATCCTTCTAATAGTGGAAATCAAGTCAGCTCATTTCCCTCTCCCATTGGTCTTAGGATAACGACTTTCTTACAAGGTTCGCGAGGTTACACGTGATCGGGACCCTGCCAGTCCCTGCAGCTCGTTCTGCACCCCCTTCCTCTTGCCTTTGAGCAGACTCTCCTCTGCCCACATGACAGCTGTTTACTTATCACCTATTGACGTAAGCTTCCCGAGGGCAGGGGTTGAGTCTGAATTGTACACTTCAATCTGCCTAACATCTAAAGGAGGTTTGGTCAGCCGGTGTGGCTTAGTGGTTCAGTACCGACCTGTGCACCAGGAGGTCACCAATTTGATTCCTGGTCAGGGCACATGCCTGGGTTGCGGGCTCGATTCCCAGTAGGGGGTGTGCAGGAGGCAGCCAGTCGATGTTTCTTTCTCATCAATGTTTCTATCCCTTATCCCTTTTCCCTTCAATTCTCTCTAAAATCAATAAAAAAATTTTTTTAAATAAAAAAAGACTTGATAAATAGGAGATGAATGAGGGTGATTAGTGACCATTTGCAATGAGCTTTAGATCTCAGAGGGAGAGATCCAGGTCCCTTTTGGAGGGCAGGGCCACCTGTGTGTGTTTTGAACTGTCCTAGAAGGCTTGGCTAGGCCTCCACTGGGACAGGAAGAGAGTGGATTTAGTTACAGGTGGGCAGAATGCAGGCATGAAATTGGACATCAGACTGGGCCTGGGAGCTTGGCCAGAGGGGTTGCAGCCAGAGTAGAAATTGGAGTGTGGGGAGTTCTGGGCTAAGAATGGTCTTTGGGCCTCCACCTTGGAGAAAGAAATTGAGTTTCCTGGGGCGAGGTCTGCAGGGTGCTATGGCAGGCAGAACTTGAGTATTCTCCTGGATCAAGGCTGGAAGTAGGCCTAGTGGAGGCACAATGAGAACCAATACCAAGGACAGTGTTCAGGTTCTTGGTGTAGAGTCGCCTGAGGCCTGGTTTTCTCAAGATGGTTTGAGCCATTTACTTGGCTCACCCACAGAAGTGCCTGTGTTTTCACAGCTCAGGGCCATTCTGACCTTCACTCTTCCTCTGTCCCCACCTAGTGCATTGTGAGCGTGGCTGGCGGGGCTACTCGGGCTGCACTGACCATGCACCAGGCCCGGAGAAACAACATGGCTGACGTGGCAGCCAAGGATGGCAGCCAGGTGAGCAACCAGGATTGGAGGGGCCGGGGGTGGATGACACACCTGAGTGCTCCTGGGGGTAGGGCGGGAGACACGCAGGAAGAAATGTGGGTGCTCTCTGCTCTCACTCTCAGGACGGGTGATCAGGTGTGAGGGCACAGGCTCTGGGGGCAGTAAGTCCAAACTGACCATCCCCGGCCCTGCCCACTGCCTGTGCAGTGAGAATGAGCCCTGGCCCTGGCCCTCTCTAGGCTGTGATGATCCCCACTCAGGGAGATAGATACGCTGATCATGTGAGGCCCCACAGTTTAAAGCACTTAGCAAGTCAGAAATTGCTTAGCATGTGAGGTGCCTGGGGTCACTGACTGGCCAGAGGCATCCACTCAGCAGTTCAGCAGGCCTTCTGACCCACCTTCTGAGCAAGGGAGCCTGTAGTAGGGGTGGTGACACCCCAACAGGTTGAACCCTGCAGGTATTGGGTCCCCCTAGGCCCCATGCCGAGTGCTTATGTGCACTGCACCATTTATTGTCCACCGGCCTTGTGAGGTCCACACTGTATCCCTGTGTTACAGCTGGGGAAAGTGAGGTCTAGGGGTCAGAAGTGCACCATGGTTTTCTTTGTCAAGGAAGCGATTTAGGAACCTCTCTTCTCTCCAGTCCTACTTTCTGGCCTTCCCTTACATTGTTTTGCTCGATTTCTAAATAGAACATTTTTTTTTATTATTATTAAAGTAACTTCTTTCAATAATAATATTAACACAAACTAGATCTGTTAAGCATTAACCATGTATTTCATTTGTCCGAACTCATCAGACCCCTATAGCAGTCTTCTCCCTGGGCCTCAGGATCTGGTGAACTGGGTCTTCCCCAGTATCTCCTGTAGGTTGTAAGGGGAGAAGAAATAAGTACAGCCCAAGCCTTGCTCTTCAGGGTCTCCCAGGGGTCGTTCCTGCTCTCTCCTCCACTTGCTTTCAAACCCCTCAGCCCTCCCCCACCCCCAAGCTGTATTTTCCAAGGCTCCAGGGCTTACTCCATCCACAGAGGCAATAATACTTGACAGGGGCAACCTGGGACAGGTTCAGTCCTATAGCAACACCTGCTTTCTGCTGGTGTGGCTTGGGTATCACTTTATGTGGTTGCTGGATGTGACTATTCCCACCCAGGAAAAAGGAGGCTTCTGGTCTCCAGTTTACTGTCACACCCACCCCCTTGCCAAGATGGCTGGGTAAGAAAAGCTCTCTAGCCTCAGGCCCCCTCTGTACCAGGATCAGCTCTCCTGGAGACCCTAGTAGTAAGGGGCACTGATCCAGACTCCTCCCCTGTCGTGATGAGTTGGGAGCACACGAGCTGGGGTCTTTTCCCCTAGGGTAAGCTCAGTCAGGCCATCAGAGGGATTTAATAGCATTGATTCTCGAGATAAGAGGTTTAGATCATGTGCCTTTCTTCCTAGGTCATTCCTTGACCCCTTTGCAAGTGTCTGCCGGTAATTGCATACCCAAGAGACTGGGGGGAATTCAGCCTTTTTTAACTACCAAAAAAATACTTCCCCACACTTGGGACATTTGCTTGCCTAAGCATAGGGCTACTCAGGTGACTCTTGCAAAACAAAGACAGGGTTTCAAGGGCATTGTTGCTGCCTAGGCAGAGAAGCAGCTGGTATCTTTTAAATGATGGCGCACTCACCAACAATACTAAAAATTTACCAGCCGCCCTCATCAGCATGTGGACCCCAGGTGGTTCTGGGGCAGGGAGCAATGTTGTGACAAGCACTCTGGGATATTCAGTCTGGCCTGGATATCCAACTCCCCACCCCTCTGCCGTTTTCCAGGAGACGCTGGTAAACCTGGCTGGTCTCCTGGTCAGCCTCTTGATGCTTCCCCTGGTGTCAGATTGCCCTAGGTAAGCCGAGGCAGGCGCGGGGTGGAGGTGCCCGGCTGGCCCTCTGCACCTGCTGACCACCTTGTGCTCTCATTCCAGCTTCAGCCTCAGTTGTTTCTTCCTCCTCACTGCCCTCCACATCTACGCCAACTACCGGGCAGTCCGAGCCCTTGTCATAGAGACCTTGAACGAAGGCCGGCTCTGGCTGGTCCTAAAGCACTTCCTTCAGAGGGGAGAGGTACTTGACCCCACTTCAGCCAATCAGATGGAGCCACTATGGACAGGTGACCAACCCTTTGGTCTCAAGTTTTATGTCTCAGTCTGTTCCCTTGCCTGGAATTCCTGACTTCAACTTCCCACAGGTTTCTGGCCATCTCTGTCTCTGTCCTTGGGGGTCCCCCTACATTGCTTGGTTTCCAGGTAAGTAGCCCAATGTCCCACTCATCACTACTGGCCCCCCACTCCCCACACATGCCCCTTGTTCCAATTACACACCAGCCTGCCTTGACCAGGCCCTCCTCTGCTCTAGGTTCCTTATTTCTGAACAGACTTGGGGTCAGTGTGGGTGCTTGGGTGCAGCCAGTGTATAACATAGAGTAGATAGGATGTATTTGTTGGATAAAGGAAGAGTGGATGGATGGGGCAAATGAACGACTAGATGCAGAAAGAAAGGAAGGTGGCAGTGGGGTGCGTGGGTAATGGCTAAGGGGTGGTGGGAAGTGGGTGAAGGACAGATAATATGGGCAGTTGTGGTTCGCAGGTGGCTCTTCATTGACCAGATAGTTACCCTGCCTTTGCTCCCTCCTCCCCCACTGCACTCTCTCCTTCAGTGTCTTTGAGCTGCAGCAACTGGTTGAGGGACACCAAGAACCTTACCTTCTTCACTGGGACCAGTCACAAAGTAAGTGTGTTGTGTTCCCCCAGCCTTAGACTCACCCCTGGTGTCAGCCTCTCATTCCTCCAGCTCCAGCCCACAAGGCCTGGGCAAGCCCTGGACAGTTTGGAGTCTGCCTGGTGCCCTGCAGGGAGCTCTGGACTAAGACTCGATGCATTCAAACTATAGCTGCGTGCTCCAGTGATCCTCCCTATAGCCCTCTGTAAAATGGAGCCAGCAGGACCTGCCTTATTACCCACAGTGTTTTTTGAGGATCAGATTAGGTGATGTGTAAAAGCACTTTGTACATTGCGACACATTGACTTGAATAAGGCTATGACCTTTAGTTACCTCAGGGGAACCACTTTTCTCTCCCATCTAGAGCCACTTGAGGAAAAAAGTACTAGAGTTGACTGCTATGCTGGTCGTATATTAAAAGGTGCTTATTCTCACTAGCCACTAAAAACATGCAAAATATACCCACCTCTGAGCTGCTGTGAAGTTGTATTTGGAAATTGGGCATTTCAATTTGACCAGAACATTGGGGAGCAACAGGAGGTGATGTTAGAAATGGGTGAGAGATAGCCTTTCATGCCCGAACGAGGCCTCTGGGCACAGACAGTGATGAAGCAGGGTGCTGGGTTCAAGAGTGTTCGGGGGTGGCCCTCCCTGGTACCAGTCTGTCTCTGGGTCTTCAGATCAGGTACAGGTTGTTCTGAGCCAGGTGGCAGGCCCTGAGGCTGTCCTAAGAGCTGCCACACACGGGCTGGTGCTTGGAGCCCTGCGGGAAGATGGGCCCCTCCCAAGAGAGCTGGAAGAACTGAGGAACCGAGTATGGGCAGGTAAGGGCCTTACTACCTAGAATGTTGATGACTCGAAGTGGGGTGGAGAGAGGATGTTCAGCTTGAGGACCCAAGAACTCCTGTTTCTGCACCCCCATCCAGGTCCTAACAAAGAGAGCTGGGTCATCATCAAGGAGACACACCAGGTGTTGGACAAGCTATTCCCAAAGTTCTTGAAAGGTAACATCTTTCAGGCTCCTCTGAGGCCTTTTCCCCAGGAGCCCTGCCTGCCCCTGTCCCCTCCACCTGGGAGTTGGTAGACTTGAGTTCTCTCTGTGAGCTTAAGTCTGGGTCTCAGTTTCCCTGCCTGCAGGATGGAGGGGTTAGGATGGTCCCTGAGGCTGTCAGTGTTGAGTCCCTGTAATTAATCCCAGTTAGCATTGAAGAACTGGGAGTGAAGGGAAGCTCACAAATGACTGATGCTAATCTTTTATTCAGCACTTATTCCTCCCATCCCTTCCCCATGTTTGAGCTCAGTGAATTCTTGCTGCAAACAGAAGAGGTGTTAGCCTCATTTCATTCCAGAGATCACCCAGAAGAGGCAGGGGAAGCCAGAGCAGGGCATAAAGCCTGTACCCAGCCTGTGCCACTCCTTACCCCTCTCCGGGGGGTCAGCCCAGACTCCTCCCCTAGCAGTCCCCTAGTACCATTCTCCCATGACCTCTCCCCAGGACTGCAGGATGTGGGCTGGAAGACTGAGAAGCACCAGCTGGAGGTGGATGAGTGGAGGGCCACATGGCTCCTGTCTTCAGAAAAGAAGGTCTTGTGAGCAGCCCAGATGGAGGGCCAGATCCTGGGCTAAGAGCCTGAAGCAAGAACACTTTGGCTATAGCAGGATGTGGGAAAGGCAGCTTTATTTTTGCATGGGGGAACTGCCATGGTGGGTTGGCCAAGGCCTCACAGGAGGTAACTGCCAGTCAGATGGATTGGGCCCCAGGAAGAGACAAGGTAGAGAGAAGGGGAACCACAGTCTTCCTCCTCCTCTTCTGCCCCACTCCCTTCTCACCACTGCAGGAGTCCCCACACACACATTGTGAGGCTGAGCCCTGCACAGGCTGTGGCTCGTGGTGCCCCCACACAGTTGGCCTCAGGCATAAAAACCCCAGAGGAATGTCGCCACGGCCATCATGAGCAGGGCATTGAAGTTGACCACGCGAGCCCAGTGCGGGTCCTCACTGATGTCCTCCAGCTGCCTGGCTGCTGCATCCACCTCCTCCTGGGTAGGTGGCAGGGTACTACTGGCCCCAGCCCTGCTCATCCCACAGAACCAGAGCAGGCACTGGTGGAACAGGCCTGGTGCCAGGGATTGGGGCTCTGGGAAAAATGGAAGCCTTACAGTTAGTTTGAGGGGACTTGGCTCCCCCAGCTCCCCGGCCCTACCTCCTGGGCAGTGCCTCACCCTCCATCTCCACTGCATGCTCCGGATGCCCATTCTGTACAGGGGGTGAGGCTGGCCCTTCCAGCTCATCAGTATCCAGGTCCTCCCGCTCCTCCTTGCTGTGCCGGAGACTGAAAACCAGGCGGTGGAGCTGGAGAAGGTGGGAGACGGGACCAAATGGGAGTTCTCTTCTCCCACCCAAGACCTTGATGTCTTGTCCACACTGGCACTTCCTAGCCTCCCTCTTTCCAGCCTGTACGCTGAGCCCAGGCTCAGCTCACTCAAACATGACCCATAGCTGCCCTTTGCCCTCAGGCTAAACTCAAGCTCCTCAGCTAGGTGTTTAAAGCTCTTTGCCCTGCTTTATCACCCCAACTCTTTTGTCCACTCAATTGTGTGCTTTAGACTCCAGTATAGTTCTGCTAACAGTGTCCCTTCCTGCTGGTATTTGCTCCTTTTTCCTCCTGTTGCCTTTCCCCCACTTATCCACCGTGGAATCCTGTCCATCCTTTGGGCCCAGCTCTTTGATCTGGCTCCCCAATCAGCCCTGACCTGGGGCACTTGCCCTGCAGCAGAGCAAGACCAAACACTTTTGTGGACTTTCAGGAAAGTGCTCTGTCCCTCTCAGCCACCAATCATAGCCTGTGTTTTGAGTCCCAAGGCCATTCCAAGGACTTTGGGGGCTTTAATAACAATCTTCAAGTCACATCCCCCAAACCACCTCAGATAAATGTCTTTAAATAAAAACATTGTGATTGCTTTGCAAATGCAACTTCAAACTGGACTCCCAGCCTCTCCTCACCAACCCTCAATACAGGAAGGCTGGTCCTCTCCACAGGATGTTTGTGGGAGCGGATTGGCCAACTGGGTGGCGAGGGCTGCATTGGCCCACGTGGTCCATCTTTGGTGCCTGCCCCGAAGCTGACACTCACGTGCTTGTGCGGGATGGGTGCTGTGCACAGTGAGACCACCAGGGTGAGGAGGCCGGAGCTGACGAAGAGCACGATCGCAAAGTAGAGGTAATGCACCCTGCAGAGGAGGGCGGGGCACGCGGAGGGCCGGACGCAGCTGCCGGCGCCGAAGGAGAACTCGGGAACAAGGCGCGCCAGGCCCATCAGCAGGCCCCCGATCAGTCCCCAGAAGGCGCCCTGCGGGGTTGGGGAGCGTCAGCCGTGCCTGATGTCCAAACCTTGCCTCACGCTTCCTGTGCACGCACGCTCACCTTCTCGTTGACCCGGGGCACGAAGAGCGCCAGCACGAAGACCGCGGACACGGGCGGCGCCAGGTAGCTGGACACGGCCTGGATGTAGTCGAAGAGCTGCCCGCCCTGCGCCGCCTGCACCACGGGCAGCCAGGCCACCGACACTGCCACGATGAACACCACCCAGAGCCTGCGTTGGGCGGCCGTCAGGCTTCAGGACCCCATCTCGCCCGCCCCTACCAGGGCTCCCTGTCCCCCTCCCGGGCTGATTCATGGGGCGGGGCGGGGGGCTCAGGCCACACCCACCGTCCTACTAGCAGCAGCTCGCGGTCACCTGCGCGAGGCCGCAGGCGCGTGTAGATGTCCATGGTGAAAAGGGTGCTGCTGCTGTTAAAGATCGAGGCCAGCGAGGACATCAGCGCGGCCAGCATGACCGCCAGCATGAGTCCACGCAGACCTGTGGGCCAGTGGGGCCAGTGAGTCCCAGGACAGCAGGGTGTCTGAGGAGGAGGCGGGCCTGGCGACCGGGGGTCCTCCCGGCGTCGGCCCCGAGGCCCGCCCCGCCTGCGCGCCCTCACCGTTAGGCATGAGCTTCACGACGAGCCGCGGGTAGGCGATGTTGGAGCAGCCCACCTCGGTGCCGCAGACGCGCTTGCACACCTCGGGCACCACGCACGCCACTTCGTCTGCGGGGCAAGGGCACACACCTGGGATGGGACCTGGTCTGGGAACTCGGATCCCTGAAGTGGGGGCTGGAAATTCTAATGGAGGTGGGACCCCTGGTGGGGGTGGGACTGGGTGACCAGACTCCCAAGTCTTAGGACCGTGACAGATGCAGGAAGCAGGCACCCGATCCATACACAAGCAGGGGTCTGGGTGGGGCACAGGACCCTGCCCAGGACGGGGTGCATTCATTACCCGGATAAAGAATGCGGCTGATCATGCCTGGCATGACCATGAGGAACATAGGCAGCAGCTTCAAGTAGCCACACAGAATGCAGCCCGCCTTGATGTGGGTCAGGTTCTTCCCGGCCAGGCAGCGCTGCACGATGACCTGTGACGGGGGGCGCTAGCTGCTCGCCAACT